AGCAGGGCTAAGTCCCTATCGACGCGCAGAGAGTTATTGATCGCCCTGACGTACGCCTTTATACTCCACTACAAGAAGCTTAGCTAGAAATACCCCTAGACGTCAAGAACACTAAGTAATTCGCATGAAATTAGGTCACAATTAAAAGCTTGTAAGAGAGTCTTTCGTACGATCGCCAACTACTACACAAGAAGGCTTTTTAAAGCTTATTAAAGGGGCTGAGGAGATGCTATATGAGAATGTGCTTATAAAGGCCCGCGTAAGAGAGCTTGAAGAGCAATTAGCAGCAGTAACAAAGCGCCAAGGGCGCAAAAGAAAGCGAATTCAGACAGGTGGGACACTAGACTTTGGTGCAGGGGCATCGCAGGTAGCTGAAAGTAGTTCTGCTGGTCGTACGACATCAAAGAAGGCACGTGGTGAGGGTAGTCAAGAAAGGGCCCTACCAGGTCAACGGCACTGTAGAACCTGTGGGAGGACAGGCCATAACTCTCGTACGTGCTAGAAAGATGTAGAAGAAGATTCTCTTTTAGATACAAGTAAGTCGTACGAAGCATCTATAGCTAGTGTAGAGTAATCTAAGTTTTCGTACATGAAGTTCGTGATGCCAAGAAAAAGTGGCACACTCGGTGATGTGGCCCGCTCGGTGATGGAATACGTTAGATATCGTTGTCTATAATACCCTACTTCTACCTTATTGCCTAGACTAAGTTAAACTAGCGCTAGATAGCTACTAGGTTCTTATAGGCGGCTTGCTAGTAATTATAAGAATAGCTCTAGCGCTTATAGAGCTTAGCAGTCTGCCTAATAAAGTTATTAACTTAATTCTTACTAATAGGGTTGCCACTACGCTCTTCTTATAGTTTATTAGCTATTGCTTAAACTTTAGCCTTTGTAGGGGCAAATCTACGCGTAGACTCTTTAAAAATATGTCTAATAAAAGCCTCCTCTTCTAACTTATTTAGGCGGTTTAAATTTAGTTTATAGTTACGTTAGGGGCGCTTTCTAGCCTATTAATTAGATATTATACTTTAAGGCACGTTATAGATAGAGGCAGCGCGTTTTTAGCTTTAAACACGTTATAATTAGATATTAAAAAGAGCAAGTTAAAGATCTAAGTTAGGATAATTTAATTAACAGTTATATTGTTAAGATATAACGCGTTGTAGTATCAACGTTAACGCGCTAGTGGGGAGTGACCGACTCGCTTGGGTGACTAACTCGCTTATGAACCACGTTAGTTGTATTATACTTATAAGTTAGATTACTTACTATAATTAGTTTAAATTATATTATTTTACTCAAAATTAAATATTAAGTTTTATTATTATTTTACTATGTTTAATACTAGATTTAAAGCGTTATAAGTAAGTAGAGTATTATAAAAAAAATAGCTATATTAGCTAACTAGCCATATTGCTAAACTACTAAAAATAAAGTAAAAATGAGTCTATACGTAACTATAGAGGTCTAAAAGGTAAGCCTCTAGTAACTGAAATTCTAGAGGCTTATAACTACTATAATTACGATATAGTACATGTTACTGTACTTGTTACGGAACATCCCTACGTACATGGCAGCCCTTTGCTTGTCGAAATTTGACAAACCCATCGAGGACCGTATTGGCACTAGCATAGTTTGCCTGTCCCGGCTGTCCTACGGTACCTGACAGCGAGCTAAACCAAATGAAGAAATCGATATCAAATGACTGAGTCTCATTGTGCAGATGCCATGTTCCCGCAACCTTGGGCGCCACTGTGCCATTCCATTCGTCAATGGTCATTTTCTGCCAGCTCTGCTCATGGAGCACCATGATCATCTGGATGATGCCTTTGAGTGGACGGAGTAACGCCGCCACAGCGCGTCTAACGTCCACTGCTTCGGTGACGCTTCCACGTACTAAATGGACCTCGCAGCCCATACTCTGGAGTTTTTTGACAAAAAGCTGATCTTGATCTGTTGTTCTGGCGTTGCGGGAGAGGAATGTGAGGTGTTGGGCTCCACGATCGGTCATATAGACAGCTATAGAACGACCCAAACCACCAAGCCCACCTACAAGCGGGAACGACGCCGAGCCATCCGATGCGCTTCTCCTAGATATAATCACTAGTTGAACCTGTCCATTCTGCACTTCACAAAAATCATGATTGCGGAAGTTCAGTATTACCTTGCCAATGTGACTGCCCTGCTGATGCATTGGAAAGCTTAGATCTTCGAGCGTGAGAATTTCATCATCAATCACAGTAAGCTTGAGCTGTATTAGCTCAATTCACCATTGAGAGCAGTATTGGAAGGTTACCGGCCCACTATCTCTGGTCTCTCTTTGCACATTGCGTCGATGTCGACGCATCGGTAACTTCGATTTGCAAGAAACACTTTGACATCCAGTTAAGCTGCCCCCAGGAGGTCACGCTTTCCAATCTCTGCCAACGTACCCCATGTGGTGATGCAACGCTAAGTCGCATGCAGCAACTTGCCCAAGAGCGAATTAAGCGCCAGGTCCACGCTATAGTCCGGGCAACTTTTCTTCTCTCTTTCACCCAGATTATGGATCAACGGTCCACGATACAGTGTCTAAACAAGCACATGCTTCAGACCTATTCTCGCTCCCTCTAAGATGTCTATTCTACCATTTTTTCGACTTCAGTTGCTTGATTTGATTGATATTTCTTTTTTAGTATGGCCATCTGATGATGTCATCCTCTATCGTAGCGTAAATTCTAGCCTTGAGTGCATTGTGAAAGCAGTCGAGCCTCATCAATACTCTGCTTCTTATACTGTGCTTTAGCATCAAATTTCTCTTTTTTGAGGTGTGCAGAGGCGGAGCAGGGATCCTTTCAAAAAGGACACTTCTTTGATACTTGTGCCACCCAATTAAGTCAAAAGAAACAGCTTAGTCTCAAGGATAATTTTCGACACTGAAACCCTAAGTAGAGGCTTAGATAGTTTAGGTTCCCGTAAAGCAATGCAAAGCTAGAGAGAGCCTGCTTAAAGGCTCTTCGTAACGCTTAGGTATCACATCGTGGAGGCAAACCATTTCCTTTTGCGTACTAGCTATATGGTCGTCAAACGGTAGAGAAAAGATACAAATTGTCAATATATGTAGATTCATCACCTGAATATTCATTATAGATCTTATTGCACAATGAGGCGTGGCGTTATGCACCCTACATAGGAATTTTATAGAATAGAGGTGTGTGCTGCATGTTGGCCCCCTTGAAAACACACACGCGCACATACTTATATGTATTGTTTTTTTCCTAGCACTTCTTTTCTTGCTACCGAAATATGATACACAATGCCTTATAGCACTTAGGATTACAGCTACGATATTTTGAGCTATTCTTCCAATGTCATCCTCTAGATATTGCAGCTGCCATCAACCCTGCAAGCGCCGCCCGCCTCACAACAGTCGCATGCCCCAAGATCCTTTCCAGCACTGCAGCCAAATGTGCAGATAGTGCAAGCAAAAGATTGACCCCTTTTCTCCATCCTCACAAGTTCCATTGCAAGACTAACGGCTCGCTTAGAATGGCTGAGTACTTCGACATTGCGAGTTTCAACAGTGGTTCTGATTGATAGCGAAGCCGCGGAAGAGGCAGTGAGCAATGTGACAGCGGCGAAGATAGTTGTGACTGAGAAGACATCAGTTAGCAATGAATAACTTGAGAGTAGAAGGAAGATGACTTACACTGCATCTTGTTGGTAATGAAGTTTGTTCCTTATTGATTGTAGTAGTAATGATCCAATAATTGCTAGTCGTCGGTGGCGGTGAACTACCGCTAGTTATTTGGCGGGATACGTTGGATATAGAGAAAACAAAGGAGTGTTGGATGATATTCTCGTTACAGCGGATATATGCATTTACTTTATACTTCTTACCGAATATCACAAGGATTTTGTACAAGTCCCCGCATTAACATTACTCTTTAGCGGTTTGGCAGCGCGGTGAATCCGTACTCGGTGTAGCAGCGCGCGGTTGCCTAGAAGGAAGAAGCGTTGTCACAGGCTTAAATTGCTTCAATGCATACCCAATATCATCCAAGTTGAATCTAAGGGAAGATAGTGTTGGAGTGCATGATACAAGGACCACGTGCTATGTAAGTGGTCTTGGCGGCAGGCCGTCATGCACGTCAAGTTTGCAGTTTCGACTAAGTCATCGTGATACTAATACCGTTCCTGATACCCTATCATTGCGCGCAACGAGTGACACTACTTTCGCCTTTATCGAAGCTACAGCGGCGTAAACAAGACAACTGGCTGGCGCAACAAAGGCTCTGCCCTGAGAACGCCCCTTGATGCAACATCTGTGCTTACGTGATACTGTTGACAACATTGGGTGTGTGCAGGCTAGTTATCATCAAATGGAAGCCCGTAGAATAGCGTTCTGAGAAAGTGGTTTCTTTAAGCATAGGTTAGGACAGCCAAGCTCGTAGCGGCAAGCTAGTGACGTGTCAGTTATTTAGTGCAGCGTCGCGAGCGTCTGCACACCTATCGCCTTTCACTTCTCAGGAGACACACTATAGGGTTAACGCGCATCTCATATTGAAGCCGTGATATTGGTCAGTCTCATGACAGTGCGGGTATATCGAATATGAGTCTTAAACCATATGTTGATATGGAGAGATTCATTGGATGCCAAAGAACTAAATTTCGATGGCAGCGCACCGTCAACCGTCTGAAACCTTCTATTGAAGTAGTTCCAGGTGAAACTCGGCAATACAGCTATGCACAAGAACACCATGGCGACTAAACTCCAACCTTGGCAGGTGGAGGCGAGTAGTTTTGGCATGTTTGACTGGCGTAGCAAAAGGGTAGGGGCAGAAGGAGTAAACTAGGGGCCACTCTAAATATAGTCATCCCTCCACCCCAACAACAAGACATATGAGAATTTTTTTCAATCCTCTGCAGACCTGGAGTGATATAGAGGTGATTAATATCGACAATATGAATGTTCAAAATTGTCGGCCTTTTGTCAGTTCTACGTGACGTACTTTTCCCCTCAGGTGGATACATAGTGATATTTAATGAGATATATCATGTAGGGGAAAGCTGAAGAATGAAGCAAAGTACATTGATTGCACAGTTCCTAGAGCGTGATTCAACAGAGATTCAAGACATAGATGGCATCCATGGATTAACATGTAGTATAGTAATGCGATCTTTTAATGCGGCAAATGTACATTTGCAGTTATCCCAACTTAGTAGATATTGTAAAGACTGTTTAAAGCTGCATATAATCCATGGCAAGCCTTTCCCCTCCAGGTTACTCAACAAGGTGGAGTGGTTTTATCTGTCTTTCATCGGCATTAGAGTTGTCCGCTAGCAACCAAGTCCACAATATCTTCTTGGCAGAAGGCGATTCTTGATTCAAAATTCTCAGAACATCCGAGTTATGAGGAATGCCAAACCGAGTCATGTTGTCTTTGCGAAGTGTGCCTTCATACACATAGCCAAATCGCTCCGTGTGTCGTCGCGACTCAGTATTCAGCGCATCGGATGCTAGCCATAGTATCTGATAAGCCACATTCGGGGTCTCGAACAGATGGCATAACATGATATGGTGTGCTTCCGTGCCAGCGTACGGATGCCGCATCGCCGACGCATAGATGACGTCGTCCCACTTCATTACCCGAGAGCGTGGGTTCAGCCGATAGCGCATAGGAACCAAGGCATCCGTACGGGCACACACATCAAATGGCTAGGGTGGAGATCTGTCCAACTTGTCTTTCTTACCCTGGTTTAAGAGTTGCGTAAAATATATAGTTGCTTAGTACTAAGTAAGAGATGGCTGCTTCAGGTCTAGAACGAAAACATAGGTCGCATTCCATGCTTAAGCGTCGACTAAATAACCAGGCATTGGCCTCCACCAACGAAGATAGTCCGAAATATCCATGATGGTTTCGTCAACGAGTTGATAATTTGCTGTCATTGTGTGATTGTACTAGTACACGCGTGGGACACTGTAGGAGGCTCTTGCAGGCTATCAAAGCACTACCCAAGCACAGGAACTTAACCATACGGCACCTTTCAGATGACCCGCCAGATATCCTAAATAATGCGGTGGCGTTCTTGTGTGTTTGCGGAGATGCTAAGTGCATAAGGCACCTTTGTGCGATGCATAGTAGGCTATGAGATATTAGTAGATTGAGATGCAAAGGATGTCCACGTGATGAACATGGACTTGGCGACTTATCCCATGGCCAACATACTTACTGAAGTCACATGACGGGGACGGATGCCAATGGCAGTTCCCTGGGCCTTGGCAACGCGCGGAAACTTGGTGAAGATACGTCTTGGAGTCTGCGCGTGATCGTGTACTTATACCGGATTCTTGGACATGAAAAGCAAGAGGCACGGGCTGTGCCACTGACGTGCAGTGCACACACTGCGTGGGGGTCGAAGGGCATCAGTCAAGTTCAGGCAGGCGCGCAATTCCTTGCTCTTCTCTCACCTGCGCCCCTACGAACCCATCCACCCCCCTAGCCTCTTCACATATTTATTTGCGTTCTCCTCTCAGCGATATCCATAGTCGCCAGCATTTTTCGTTGCGAGAATGCACTCCAATGTGGAAAAGGTCGAGAGTCTGCATGGCTGCCCTGCGGCACAGGCGGCGCAGACTACCCATTTTGCACAGGAAACCGGCGTCACCAAGTCGCAGGCAAGAAAGCATCACTCTTTCTACTTTTCGCAACTCATGCTGGCTATGATTGCCCTTATCGTGGCCTGGGATGTAACAGCTCTCTCTCTGGCTCTACCGGTAAGTAGGTATCATTTCAAGGGCCACAGCATCGTCCATGACTACAGTCTGCTGACTGCCACTTCGTGCAGATTATTGCCCAAGAGTTACAAGGAACGGATTTCCAGTCATTCTGGGCCAGCATAGCATTCATTTTGGGCATCGCCATCACTCAACCTATCTACGCCAGCATTTCAGACGTGGCAGGTCGCAAACAAGTCCTCTATGCATCCATTCTCCTATTCGGCATTGGATGATTTGTTTTCGCTACCGCAACCAACATGAACCTTATTGTAGCTGCTCGGCTCATCAAAGGTCTTGGTGCTGGCGGCCTTGACGTCTTACAAACTATTATCCTCTGCGATATCACACCACTCAAGGATCGACCGCGCTGGCTAGGCGTCTTGTCTGTGGCAAATGCCGTTGGTGCTGTCACCGGGCCATTCATTGGAGGCGTGTTTGCCGAACGGGTTGGGTGGCCATGGCTTGGGTGGATCAATCTCATCGCTGTGGGCATCGCGGGCATCTTGACTTTCTTCTTTCTCCGATTAAAGCCCGTTGGGGGTGGACTCGGAGACAAGATGCAAAAGCTTGACTGGTCTGGATTTGCCCTCTTCACAGTCATTGGTACAGCTATAGCGCTGCCGCTGAGCTGGGCTAACGAGCTTTATTCCTGGGCATCTTGGCAGACCCTTGTTCCACTTCTTATCGCCATCCTGCTCATCATCCCATTCTGCTTCGTTGAGAGAAGAGCAAAGGTACCTATGATCCCGTACCAAATCTTTGACAATGTCTCCATCATCACAGGAACTCTGGCTGGGTTCATCTATGGCTCGTTGCTGAACCCTATACTCCTCTATCTTCCGCTGCTCTTTCAAGCCCTATACCGCGAACGTCCTTTCGTTGCCGCCAAATCGACTCTACCCATATGCTGCTTGATCGTAGCAATGAGTGTCACTGCGTCGTTGCTGATAGACTGGAGGCGCAAGTATCGTATTGCCACGTGGTCTGGCTGGGCCATCGCAACGATATTCCTGGGCCTTAGCTACACAATCGACGCAGAGTCCAGCAGAGCTCGTAACTACAGTGCCCGTGCACCAGATGAGCACCATCGCCAGTTGAGCACCCCCACCACCACAACAACAAAACTTCAACGCGTCAAAACTCAACCAATATGGACCCGATTCAAGAAGCGATTGCAGAAATCGAATCGCGAGAACCAGGAGATAAATTCTCGTATCAAGCAATCGCGAAAAAGCATGGTGTAGCACGAATGACGTTGATG